GGATAGGGAACAGGACGCGGCCTTGGCGGACACCAGTGCCTCGACTCAGTGCCATTAATTCTGACGCAGACCTTACAATATGAATAGATGGTCCGCAGCAACTGGCTATCGTTCCGTATGTTCGTAGTCATGGCCACAGATTGTTGCGCGGGATCCGCTCATAAGGTTTCTCTAAGTCAACAAAGCCTATGTACACAGGATGGCCGAACGCCAACGATTTCTCAGCAATCTGGCCCAGAACAAACATATAGTCAAAGGTGCTTCGACCGGGCCGGAAGCCACCCCGCTGCTGTCCTTATATTTTACAAACAGTTACTTCACAGCCTGCTTTCCCGCGTCTTTGCCCCGATAACTGGAGCACTCCGCTCTTAAAGGGCTGCCATTCGGTTTCCACATCAGTTGTCTTCACCGGGATCTGTTCAAACCGTCTTGGATCCTTTTTGCAACCCATTCGATTCTCCGGTTGCTTCTGCCACCAGATCTTCGTATGGTACTCCATTTCCTACAGTGCAGCGTGCCAACAACAAGGTGATGATCGGTTGACAGTTTTGCGCCTCTCTTAACTCGAGCTTACTGAGCGGTATTCTTAAGTCAGACGATATGATTATCAAATCAATCATCGACTTCTGTGCACAGGCTTCCCGGTGCCAGGTGTGCTGATGTACTCTTCGATACTCGAAGAAGGTGTTCATAATGGACAATAGGTTGTTGGCACAACACCGCAACAACTTTATGCCGTTATTGTTGTGGTCGCTAGGGCCGTTTTTCCCAATCACGCCGTTCCACTTTTCAGCGTCTACTATATCATGCGCATTAAGATTGCTCATTAGAATGTGGGTCTCCATATTCGGCACTTCGTACAGAGTTCACTTCACTTCCTCAATGAAAGACAAATATTCCTCCCGCAAACGGCGCGTATCGATCAATTATCATTTTTGGGTAAAACTAACATCTGACGTTATTTTACGATATTGTTATGAAGTATGCAGCATAAGTATGCATTATCTCCAGTCCTACCGCTGGAACATGCATACAATCGCAAGCATGACTGAATTCATCAGCTGTACTCAGGGGGTTCCTTTGACAGAAGGAGAACGCTTTGCCTATCTTTATTGAAATTTTATGATTATTGTTATTTGCCTCGATAGTCAGAAAAGTGACCTTTTAGTCCATTGGGTTTCATAGTAATGTGTCTCAAGATTCTTGGGAACACTTTGCTCTGTTTCTTAGCGTAGAGGATATCATCGACAGATCACATGATTAAAGCTTCTGTGAGGAATCCTCCCAGCATGCTCGAACAAGGAACTATTAAAGCACTGTACTGGTCGAATCTGTTGCTCTGATTATGTAGACAAATGTTGAAGTAGTTCGAATAATCTATCATCAAGTCACCTTTGTACATATGGGATGTGAGAGGCTCTAGCCAGATTTTAATTATGTACTGTTTAGATCATTGCCGCCATACCTCACTGTGAGATACATATAGTAAACCATGTTATAATAATACTGCTCGGGATGATTGCAACTGTTATTAATGCAGTCAGTGACGGTTGCTGGGTGAACAGTATTACTTGTGACAGATACACATAGGGATGCGATAATCATGGCCACCATCTGCGTGTGTCAGCAAGAGACAGATTTGGTCTTAATTGCAGGACTGCTATCGCTGACTGGTTAACGTATGCAGCATGTGCTTCGAAACTGTCGTTCATATCTTGCAAATGCGAGTGTAATGGCTGGCCAAACTTGTCGGCGAAACTGGAGTGCAGTTAACTGATTTTTGAAAAACCTTCAGCGAAGACTTTAAACCAGTCTTTGCGGTTTTGTCTAGAAACGAGAGCTTCAGTTTCCATAGAAAAAATCTCCATTTAGCAAATTAATTCTATGGTCGTTTACGTCCTGTCGATACGAGCCCTACGGCTGAGCTGAAAAAATTAATTCCTCAATTAACCACGATAGCAGCAAAGGTTAGGGAAAGAGGCCACTGCCTAATCAAGTGAGGAAAGGAGGCTGCTCTGGACGATTATTGGTATGATGAGCTATGAGCTACGCGTTAGGACGTGCAACAGGGATGCCACAGCTTGGTAGCTATTCCTTTCGCAAGCTGAATAACGATGGTCGTTGACTGTTTGGGTAGGCGAATTATGGATATTCAGCTGAAACCAGAGAAACGGATTCTCAACGTAGAGGCACATAACAGGCTGAAAGCTAGGTCAATTATTTGGACTTGTGACGTCGCTGGATTTCCAGCCATGCCGCACCTTTGCGACGTGGCAAAAGTTATTGCGTTGTAAAAGGAGTAGTTACTCTCTGAAAACATATCTGCTTCTATTTTGTTGCCCCCTGCTGCCGTGGCACGAAGGCCGGACAGCTTGGTTATTTTGAACACTTGGCATCGTCGCGTTTTGTATTCAGTTCTGGGAGCTTGGCCGGTTGATTCAAAGGCCAGGACCACCACCATCATTAAGTCTTTGATTCTGCCGGCCGTTCAGTTGGAACGAAATGGTGGACAATGAAGCTGAACGATTGAACAAATCGGTCGGCGAATCGATTAAGGTCTCTGCTTATAGGTGAACGCCAGATCAACGATTGAAAGGATACACATTCGTCGCTGAAGAACGTTCTCGAATCATCGTGACGTTTGCCCCCTGGACTACGTCACGTAGTGTGTTCCACTTCACAGGGAAGAGTAACAAAGTTCTTATTATACCAACTGAAAGAAGCATTAGATCAAGTGGTTACGTTACCTATTGCCTGTAACAAATCGATCATAGTCGTGCTAATTGTGACAGCGGTCACTCCACTTTTCCCTCATCTCTCGTGCCGCTTTCCTTCGTCATCAGTGGCCATGGTAGGCCAAACATGAAAGCGTTCAACTTTTCAGATAGCGATCAAAATGTTATTTACAATTCCAAGTATTCCGCTTGACCATAGATGCCGTCCATCGATGGTCAGTGAACAGAACTATGTGACCATTTCATTGCATTAGATATATACTGACATATACCATGAATTGGCATTCCGTTAATGAGACAGACACCCATATATACTTCTTGTAAAGTGAAGGCTAACGTCAAACGAGTTAGCATCCTCGATGAACGTTGTCCATG